CAAGAGCCTGGAAAAAGAGCTGGTGGCAGAAAACATACCAGGTACAGAGAAAGGGTCTGGGCAAGGAGGAAATTTTTGAGACAATTACTCCATGGCCAGAAGAAAACCTGAGCTCAACTGGTGGTGGTCCACCATCCATATGGGAGCCCTTTCCATACTCTGAGCACAGGCTGTTTCGCTTTCTCTTCTTCAGGGTGGTGCATCCATCACACCAGCACTCAACTTACTCATCAGGATATGTGACTGGCGTGTGAATGTTCTTGAGAACCACTTGCTGCCTCTCCCTTTACTCACTGTTTGTGGGTGTTCTCCATATAGTACATACTACCCCAACTACCCCAGTATTAGAGTCTGTGTTTACTTTAGAGCAACCCCTGCCTTGAAGACCTTACAGAATATATACTAAGAGAAAGAAGTGGGAGGAAAGCAGACAGGGTGGTGATGTAGCTGCTATTCCAAGCTTGCATGGAAGGTGGCTGACACAGCAAGGAACATAAGCGAGTGACTTTAGCACAAAACTCTTACTAATGAGGTGAGAAGGTTCTGTTAATGGCTGCAACTCCATGAATCTTGCTGAATGTGTGTTATTCCTTCCCTTTGCCAGACAGCCACGGTAATGTGTCCCCAGAAATGGAGCCCATCCACCTCCTGGCATGGGTTGCCTCTGGCTATGTGATATGGCAGAACTCGACTGAAAACACTAAGTTTCAACTTGCCTGCATTAAACATGTGAAGCAAGTGGTAAGTTACCATCCCTGCCCTGCAATGAAAACAGTATTTAGGAGCTAAGCAGTTGTGCATGTACTGGACTACAGCTGAAGCCAAGTTCTTAAGCAAGAAACCTCAATTGTGTCTGAACTTCTTGGTCCAGTTTGTTTTTAAGCCAGTGACTGCTTTTTTGTTCCACCTGCCTTTTTCCTCCAGCAAATCATGAAGGCTGGAGTGTTTATTTAGATCACTCCTTCTCTTCATAAATGCTGCTTATAGAAGCTGTGCCTTCTTCGCAAGAGCAGTATCCTACATTTACTCAGTGAAGAAAATGGACTCTCCCACTTGGAGGTCACCCCATTGCCTGCAGTTCTGTGTTACCTTCCTGCCTTTCATCTGTGTGTAAGCCCAGCTGATAGTGTTCTTCCATCCAGTAAAATACAGTCCTTCATCTCTTCATCTACACCATCATCTCAGCAATCAGTCACAGCAGTACTGCTTGATGTCTCGGAGATAGCCATGTCTAGACAAATAGCAATTTGCTGCACCTCAAATTCAATAAAACACCATCTACATTGCTTTGGCTTTTGTTTGCAGCACTGCAGCCTCTCTCCATTTGCTGGTTCATCTCAAAATGCTAATCAAGAAAGAAAATACTCCTTTAATTCCACTCTCAATATTAACTTTTTTACCCTATTCTTCACAAACTTTTTTTTTTTTTTTTAAATGGGGGAGAAAACCTAAAATTAATTTTTAGTTGAAACATTCATATTGCAGAAGTGCTCTCTAAATTTTTTTAAACGACCCAGTTAACAGTAACACTGACATCAGGGATAGAATTCTACCTGACCTGAAAAATTCAGTCAGTTGGACCCATGCTCTTAGACTTATACTAGCAATGAGGAACATCAATTAAGTTTATGATAAGAAAACTGAATTCACAAGGCAGAAAGGGAACAGAATAATTCAGGACAAAATTTATATTTTCACTTATTTCTGAGTGGTTACAAGTAACATGTTTATCTTGAGCAGATCTGGATCTGCCCTAAGCTAAGAAATAAATCTGCCTGGCAAATCTCACTAGAGCTATTCAAATTAATTGAGCCATTAGCTGCCATTATCAACAGGCCTTGCAGACTTCTTGCCTGGAACAGGCTTAGCTGATAAAGCAACTTGCTTTCCAAAAAGTTACTATTAGAGCAAAGTTTTTAGCTTTGTTTTTAAATGAATTGAATTCTATAGATTCTCCCAGTTCTTCTCTGTTCTATTTGGAGAAAACAGATTGTGAGTTAAGAATAACTCCTAAAGGGATGGTCAACTTTAAATTCAAGGCAATTTCCTTTTGGCTACTTAGAACAGCGGGTGAATTCCCACGAAGTTCTGGGTAGGAAGGAAAAGCAGCAGCTCATTCTGGGAGCAGGATTTGTTACCGTTTTGCTCCCTCTGATGGCTGGCTGAAAGCACTTCACAGATGCTGCAGGGCTGCTCACAAGCAAGATTTTAAAACCCTCTTTCTTTTCTTTTCCCTGAAGAATAGACACATAAAGAACACACCCCGAAGGCCAGCGGGTATTCTGTCACTCACACAATCGCTTCTGGAGTGCACTCCAAATCTCATCCTATTGACTATTTTATTTAGGAGTGTTTGGGTTAAACTGATGCCTTGTTGAATCAGGTGTTCCCTTCCCAAATAAGTTCCTGAAGTTGAGATATATCAAGCTTCTCTAAAGGAGGAATTAGCACAGTTCCAAGCTTTACATTCAGTCTCTCAACTGCAGTTTTGGAGTTCACAGAAATACAAAACAGTATCTCTTTGTTTTGTTATACTGACTAAGCTCCACCTGCTTTATTTGTTAACATGAGCTGCCAGTTTCATCTGAAATATATCACAGAATTTTTATGATAACCAGAGAGAATCGATTCACTTCTTTTAAGGTGGAGGGAAGCCCCAAATTAATCCCTTTTGTTAACATGAGCTGCCAGTTTCATCTGAAATACATCACAGAATTTTTATGCTAACCAAAGAGAACCGATTCACTTCTTTTAAGGTGGAGGGAAACCCCAAATTAATCCCTTTCCATCTTGTCTTTCCAGAAAAGAAGTGATGAATATCTTGAATTTGATTACACGATTCTACTTCACGAAATGGTGTCCCAGGTAAAAGTCTTTATTTCTAAAAAAGCCTTTTTTTGTGTGTTTTAAGACTGCCAACTGTGTAACCTCCAACTCAGACAGGCAGATGTGTGTTCACAGACATGATGCCTGCAGGTCAGTGAGCAAACAGGGCGAGGTTGTGGCAAGATCACTATCAGTCTCAGCATTATCAATCACTTATCAGTCTCAGCATTATCAATCACTAATCAGTCTCAGCATTATCAATCACTAATCAGTCTCAGCATTATCAATCACTTATCAGTCTCAGCATTATCAATCACTTATCAGTCTCAGCATTATCAGCTTCTGCCCCTATGCAGGAGACAATAAGTCTCCAACTTGTGTCAGCACAGTAATTTTCAGCTATTTTGGGGCCCTTCCTGGGAATGGCAGAGGTTCAATATATTGGTCATTCACAGTTCTCTCCTCTCTTGAGAGATACTATTGCCAAACTGGCCAGGGATAAAGAGAAGAAGCAGCTGCCAGCACCCTGGGCTGCTCAACCACATTCCAGCTGGAATTGTGAAGTGCTCCTGTGCTAGAGGACAACAGTGGTGGACCACTAGCCCAGCAGCTCACACAAGAAAGCAGCAGAAACTGTGGTTCCCAGAACAGTATTTACATGGTTTGCTATTCTCCATGTAGGCTATTTCTCTGTTTTTACAACAAAAACACAGAGAATTTGAAAAAAGAAGTTCTCAATTGTGCAACCTCCTGTAATAAATCATCATTTACCCCAGTAGCTTGCACAAGGAAGCAGCAGAAATTTTGGTTCCCAGAATAATATTTACATTGTTTGCTATTCTCCATTGTATGCTATTTCTCTGTTTTTATAAGAAAAAAACCACAGAAAATCTGAAAGAAAAGTTCTCAGTTGTGCAACCTCCTGTCATAAATCATCCACTGCTAACAACCAGAGATCTCATTCCCATTTCTAGCTCCACTGATTCCTACCTCTCTGCACTCTCAGTTATGTTGGGGCATCTATAATGTTTTTAGATCCTAAATTTTCTATGAAGAAAAATTCCTGAGAAGTAGTAGCTACCTAACTGCAGAATAAAAGCACAGCTTCATCATTGTCCTCTGTTTGGAGAAGGGCAAGTGTCCCAAAATATCAATAGCACTAACAGTAAGAGGGGGAATCCAACACAGACATCCTAGAGCTGCAAAACTTGCCTAGGTGAAAGAAAAATGTAGTTACAGCAGCATGGAGCACAACACAGGCTGAAAAAAAGGATGCAGGAGAACTTCAGATACTTGTACAACTCACAGGAGTGTGTTACAGTGCTCACCCTACGCTGTTACTGGTGCTTGATCAACCTACTTCTCATCAGGCCAGGGATGGCTGTAGTCCAGCAGTCGGTTCCTGTTCACTACTGTTCCAAGAAAATACCTTCTCACTTTCTACCCTTTTATTTTCCACCCACAGGAGCTCATTCCCTGGCAAATGACAGTTCTCTGGCACCCACACCACGGTGTTCAAGTCACACAGGACAGCCGTCAGCTGAAACACACGTGGGAATAACCCACCGCCTGATACTGCAATGGAAGAAGCTACAAGAAGCATTTGAAGGGAGGGCAGCTGAGTTGATGAGGGGGGGATATGCAATCATGGAACAAAGAAAAAAGTCCTTCCTCAGTTAAAACTCTTCCTGTATATTGGGCTTTTCATCTGATAATCCAAGAGGCACATTCTCTGCTACGCAATCATAGATTAGAATGAATCATGGAATGGTTTGGGTTGGAAGGGACCTTCAAGCTCATCCAGTTCCACCCCCCCTGCCAGCAGCAGGGACACCTTCCACTAGACCAGGTTGCTCAAAGCCTCATCCAACCTGGCCTTCAACACTTCCAGGGAGGGGGAATCTACAACTGCCTTGGGCAACCTGTTCCAGTGTCTGACCACCCTCACAGTGAAGAACTTCTTCCTAATATCTCATCTAAACCTCCCCTCTTTCAGTTTAAACCCATTTCCCCTTGTTCTGTCATTAACTGCCCTTATGAAAAGTCCCTCCCCAGCTTTCTTGTAGGCCCTTCAGGTACTGGAAGGCTGCTATAAGATCTCCCTGGAAAATCAAATCAAATTCTGCATCAAAAATAAATTAAAACCCCCCACCCTCTGTTGCCAGAAGGAACACTCACGGCACGGGTGCGGAGATGCTCTCCCGAAAGGCGACTTTTGGCTTTCCCATGGTGCAAGGGCAGCTGTACTCTCTTTCCATTCGCTGCAGGAGAAATAAAGGCAGAATGAAATACAGAGTTGTTCCATTGGAACAATACATTGGAAAGTATTTTATTTACAGATCTTTCTGAAATGAGAAACTTAATCAAGGTAAACCAATTTTTTGGTTTAGGGTTGGATTGATTTTTGGGGGCTTGGTGGGGTTTGTTGTTTTGTTTTGTTTTTAAATATTACAAATTATTCACTGTCATTCTGCAGTCATTCTTGTTTAGGGGCTATAGCTTTAGATACAGGAGAAACTTAATCAAGGTAAACCAATTTTTTGGTTTAGGGTTGGATTGATTTTTAGGGTCTTGGTGGGAGGTTTTGGGGGGTTTTTTGTTTGTTTTTTGATGTTACAAATTATTCACTGTCATTCTGCAGTCATTCTTGTTTAGGGCCTATAACTTTAGATACAGGAAAAGGGAACAGCATTCATTATTCCACTCAAGTTTAAGTTTTATGAGACAAAAGCCATATTTTCTTCATTCTGTCAACATTTCAGATACATCTGTTGTGTTAAAGTATAGACATCAACTTGAAAGAAACAAATAAATCACTGTAATTATTCCCTCCTGCCTGCATCATCTCTTGTTATGAAATGATATGTTTAAAAACACAGAAACAGAATATTTCTCTCTCCTGTAGGAAATGTCTAATGGAAAAACCATTATAAGCAAAGGCTGCTAACACAAAGCATAGTGCTCAATACAACAATTTTTATGGATTTCAACCAAAAAGTAAAAATATTCCAGGCAGAAGTTACATTTAAATAATTTACAAGCCTTCAAAATAGAACATTGATGAAGTTAAGCTCTTTCCTAAGGAGTTAATATTGTAACAACACAGTGCTTTCTGCTGGGAAGATCTGAAAATAGTTGTCACACAGTAACTCTGATTTTCACTAAAGCAAGTGGAGCTGTGCACCTCTTTCCTAAGGAGTTAATATTGTAACAACATGGTGCTTTCTGCTGGGAAGATCTCAAAATAGTTGTCACAATAACCCTGATTTACACTAAAGCAAGTGGAGCTGTGCAACTCCAAACACCCAGTACACTCAACATCAGCTTAGTCATCAGTTAGCCCAGCTGTGGATAGATTTTGGTAGAGCAATGCAATGTCTCAGCCAGAAAGGAAGGAGAATTCTTGGTTGGGAGAACAGTCAGAAGCAGAGCCCATGGAATCTGCTTTCCAAATTACCTGGGCGTAGATTTCCAAGTGGAGTTCCCCCATTCCAGAAACAATGGTCTCTTTGCTCTCGTCATCAAAATGGATTCTAAAAGTGGGATCTTCCCTCGTAAAGCGGCTCAGGCCTTTGGAAAATTTATCAAAGTCATTCTGAAAAAGTTACACACACGCAAGAAAACATGAACATCCAGAAGTTACACAACTAAAAAAGTCTCAAATTTTCCTATCAACTGCTTAGCACTTCTACTCTCATGAGGTGATTTTTTGAACCACAACCATGTGTTTCTAACTGTATTTATTCCTCCAGTTACTTCACGTTTACCCACGTCAAAGACATGCACCTTCTTTGTGGCTAAGTGACACCATCTAACACAGTCACTGCTGAGTGATACCTGAACGACATCTGCTTAAGTACTTTGGATAGAACATTTTAAAATACTGTTTATTTTACTCTGTGGTTCCATATTTAACTTCTAAGCCACATAAAATAATAAAAGCAGCAGAGGAAAGGTTAACTCAGAAAAAAAAGTTGATTTATAGGCTCCTACCTTGTTGGAAGGCTTCATAGCTACTGAAATGACAGGATCAGGGATGTGAATTGATTCCTGGAATGACCAAAATTGAAGAGATCATACAGTCGAGTTCCACTACAGCTGGTGGTGTGATTTCTCCAGAAAAGTTTGCTCACAAGATCTCAGGGTTACGAACAGGGATGAGTGGTTTACTCATCTATCTAATATGATAGCATAACAAAATGAAGTAACTCTCCTGAGGATTATTATTTCACACTGGTGGGAAGACTCTGCTTCCTATCATATTTTAAAAATATATATACACAAATAAAACGGGTGTATTTAAATATACAAATACAGAGCTTAATACTTTGGGGTAACAGCACCTACTTCTAACAGCCAAGAACAGTTTGCTAACACTGAAGCAATACTTGATGTCAAGTGTAATAAACAGGAGTGATCGCTCTTACACAGACCATACTTCTATATTTTGGGGCTCCTTGAGGTATAACAAATAATCACAAAAAAATATTTGCAGTTGCATATAGATCAAAAATTATTACAAACTTTTACACCAAGATCCTGGTGAATCCCAGAGTGTGAGGCATGCAGATGAAAAGCTGTACTCACCATGGAAATGTCAGTGCTGGTTTTATCAGTGAACGTGTCCCCGCTAGCACAATCAATTCCAAACAGCGCACATATGTCTCCTGCATAAACTTCACTGACATCCTTAAGAAAGGGAAGTTTACTGTTAGATAACACTGAAAGTCACGTCACAAACCACACCTGGTTTGAAGAATATATACAAATACTGGGTTTAAAAGCATGAAGTTAAGATCCTTTGAAAATTCCAGCTTTGGTAAAATGCTCTGTCAATCTTCAATCTCTAATTCATTCAAAGCACAAGAAGGAGACCTCAGCTTGGATGCAAACTTCTTGTAGTTTAAGGATGTGAAGTGAGCAACATACTGTGTTTCAGGCAGCCCTGACCCAGCTATGGATTCACAGGATCCCAGAATGGCCTGGATTGGAAAAGCCCTTTAAGCTCCTTGAGTCCAACCATGAACCCAACACTGACAAGTCCCCTATGACTAACCCATGTCCCTCAGCACTGTGTCTACACGACTCTTCAATCCCTCCAGGGATGGGGACTCCACCACTGCCCTGGGCAACCCCTTCCAATGCCTCAGAACCCTTTCAGCAAAGAAATTCTTCCTCACATCCCATCTCAACTGCCCTGGCCACAACTGGAGCCCATTTCCTCTTGTCCTGTCACTTGGTCCTTGGTTGAACAGACCAACAGGAATCTTACTACAGGAAAGGGTAGTACTTGCAGCAGCTTGAGAATCAATTTTTAGTTTAAGAATTATATTTAGTAATCACATGGAAGAAAACTTTGTGTATTTTGCCAATCCTGTTTTCCCTCTCCCAGAAGTATGGAATGGGGATAATACCACAACTGGCTTTCTTTAGCTATCACCTCAAAACCATTTTATAAAGCTTCTTGGGCAAAGATTCTTCCACTTCAGTAGAAATAATACCTTAGAGATCATTCCAGTTTCTGGTAGAGCTCTATCAAGTGCTACAGGCAAGTATGAATTAACAACAAAAGCAGCAATTTGACATATCCCATTGTTCAGAGACAGCTGAAAAGCGAGAAGCTTGTTTAGCAAGGGTGGCTCAACAGGCAATCGGTGTGGATTGCACCTCCCACGCTCACCTCCATGTTGTCCGAATGCATACGGACAAGTCTTTGTACACGCACTCTCTTCCCCGTCCTGGTGTTATAGATGTAATCAGATTTCTTCAGCATCCCTTGATAAACTCGAATATAGGTTAACTGCCCAAAACGGCCAGCCTGGAAGGAAAATTAAACAAAAATCAGATATAATAATTCTGGGAGTCACGACCATTACTATTCAAGCATCATCTGCACCGAGTGACTAATGTTTCTGGTTTTAATTTATACACTAGACACCTAAAGGAAACTTTAACACAGTCTCAGCTTTCACTTGGCTCTAGAATGGAACTTGGCATCTCCTGGCAATTTTCTTGACATCACCAATTTTACCTCCTAAAACCTTCCCAACAGAGGCAGACATTAACTAGCAATTAGCCACTTCCCATATGAAATCTGAACTGCTGCTCTCTAGGTAGCAAACCACTTGTTTGGTTAAAACTGTGCACTGGAAAAATTTCCTCTCTGATTCTCTCATGTTCCATTTTTTTAAATTTCAAACAAAACCAGGATTTTTCTCTGAAAGCATTTGAAATAAGCCCATAAAACCCCCAAATGTTCAAGCTGTAACTAAGAAAATAATGAAGTATTTGATGCACACAACCCATTTTAAAACTTCCAAATTAGCAGTGTTTGAGACACTTGTGGATTTTATAAGTTGAAACCAATTTTTCTCAAGAACTAAAATTTAAATTGAATTTAAACAGAAAGTTATTTTAAAATGTGTTTTGCATTAAGTTTTGATAGTACCATCTGTTTGGACTCGCTCTGTTTTCTACTCAAACCACAACTAATTAATCTGGATACCTTCCCTTCTGCTTCAGGGTTAACACAATGTGAGTACAACTTTTTCCCTCGCAGAGGTCAAGTCAGGTAGGTAATGTTCTGGACATCTATTCTCTAGAAACTTCCAGTTTAGCTTTACCATATACACAGTGACCAAGTAAAAAAAGCTATCACATGCACAAATAGTTACACTGGAATTATAAAGCTATAAATGTGTGTTTTCCCTTCATTAGGAAGGAAAACAGTAACAGCTTACCTCCAGTTTAAAAGCCAGGCCTATAAAAGGCTGGGAATCGTCTCGAGCAGAGTTCAATAGGAACTTGTTTTTGTCCTCAGAATCCCTTAAAAACAGGAATGGAGAAGGAATTTATGTTATGAAGCAAACACAGCAGCCTCCTCTAAACATGAGCCCGACCTTAGAAAGTCCCAAGCCCTTTGGTGTCACAGGTTTATCACAGAGACTTCAAGATGCTCATATATGTAGCTCCCATATGCTCAGAAAGTACCTCAGAGAACCTGCAGCAGAGCCCAAAAAGGAGGTCGAAACTAGGACAGATATCACCAGTCCTTCACATCAGCCAACTATTTGGCCATGAAAGCAATTAATTAATCACACACTCAGACACAACTCATGAGCAAGTCCAGTTTTAGAGTGAAGAGACATGGCAGTAACTCTTCTGACAACGTTCATGAGCCACGTGAGAAGTTTTAGCCTATCTCAGTAGGCAGGTGTTAGAGGCAGCGAGAGGCACAGCAGCAGTGAGGACTCAAGAGTCAAGTAACTGCTGCTAGAAAAGTCATAACTATTCATTAGCATCACTCCTGTTTAGCTGTGATGACACTGTCTGAACGACTCAAGCACGTTAAGAAGCCCTGACGGCCCCCCCCGAGCCACGACTGGAAAGTTAAGGGCTATTTACTGGCTCTAATGGTGGGTTTCATGCTTCTTAATCCTGAAGGCACATCTACTTCAACACATCCAAAGAATAAAATGTTGTTTACACATTTCAGATGTGCTCTCTCCTCTCCTGTAGGTATGGTTTTAAGGGTTGCCATTAATTTGTTATCAAACAAGTTGTTTTTGAGAAGTTTAAGAGACTTCTGCTAGGGGCACACAAAATAACAACAACAACAATAACAACAACAACAACAATAATTTGAATGTAACATTTAATGTGTGTTAAAAATACACAGTATTTTTAAATAAACAGTAACCTGCAAATGAGTCACGAGCCTTCTTCATTTTGGAAGTTTATACAAAATTATGGTGGCATTATTTAATACAAATGGTAAATGATGATGTGTTTTGTTAGTCATGTTTCCTGCTACATCTTACACTGCTCTGAAACCTGATTCCAAGAGCACTTCATATGCTCTGAGTGTACTTACCCCTGGTTAAGAATAGCATAGTTCTCAACCTCTGAAGGATTGGGGAGGTATTCCAGGACAGCATCCAGCAGCGGCTGTACTCCCTTGTTCTTTAAAGCACTTCCCACAAGTACTGGGGTAAAGGACCTCTTTAGAGTTGCTCTTCTGATTGCAAGCTGAAAAATATCAACGTGTTAATTTTCCTCCTGCAACAGCTTCAGGAGTCTGACGTGGTACCAACTAAGCAGCAGTCTAGATTCTCTCTCTTTGCTGATCATCTCTGCTCTTGGAGTAAAGCAGCTGCTCCCACAGAGTTTCCTGTACAACTCCCTACACAAGAGCTTCCCATAAAACTTGCTCACCAGAATTCTAGAGGAGTGTGAGATTATTTTTTCCCCCCCTCTCTCATCTTAAATTCAACTTAAAAATGGAAATGCCTGAGATAAATATAATGACAACCCCAAAATACGCAGCAAAACTTCCTTGATTCTCTGCTGGTAAAGTCAGGATTCTTCATTTCTGGTTCAGATGTCTCTTTCTCCCTATTTAGTTGGAAAACAATACACATTTAAATTTGTGAAAGTAAGATGAGATGTTTCAGTAGCTTTAAACTATGGAAAACTCTTCTGAAAGAGGAAGTTAGGTAGGGAGCAATATTTGGGTAAGTGCCCTGCTCAATGAATCATCATTTTTTGATGAAGAACGTTTCAAAAGTGCAATAGAAGAAGCTATTCACATTCATCTACAGACCTGCTGACGTTGCACCAACTGTCTTGGGAATCTTTCCAGGATGTCCTACTAAATTGAGCAAGAGAAACTAACTGCATGGTCACCTCATGGCCACTCAGTGCCTTTCACCCAAGAATCACACGACGTTGCAAAGTGTAACTGAGCACCAACAACATTTGTAAGGGTGATCGTAGCTCTCTTCCATAGAGGTGGACAGAAGCTATTTGCCCTGCTCCCCACCCTGCAATTAATCACTGCCTTGCTCCCCACCCTTAATTAATTACCTCGGTCCCACCTCTCCCTGCCACTAGAGGATGCCATCTCCCTACACTTACTGAGGCTCTCACTCCAACCCACAGCAGCTCCTGTCTCCTCTGATCAACCAGAAGAAATTAATCCTCCTTGATAGAGCAAGATATTTAACCACATCATCTAATCTGGGAGTTATTTGGAGTACCCAAAGACAGACAGTCAAAATATCTTCATATTTAACAGAGAGAACAGTGGCTCCTTAAATTTGTTGATGTAATGACTTCATAAAAATAAAAATACAAAAAGGGAAAAATCCAACATCAGCAATTCTGCTCATCTAGCCCATGTCTGTTCTCATTTCCAGAGCGCTGGAAATAGGGCTGTGCTGATGCCCGCTGCTTTTATTTGGCCACATGTTTATAAATGAAGCAACATGACTGCAATTTATCCTCATCAACAATTACCTTGGGGGGGCAAAAATGAAGTAATTTTATTTTCAAATAAAAATTATTGTCACTGAGTGCCCCACTGAGTACCTTGCCTTGAGTACAGCATGAGGGAAAGCAGCAAATTAAGTAACGTTTAAGCAGCTGATCTTCAGCAAACATCATATGCTACGACTGTGGCATCCAGGAGTGATACTCAGCATCAATTCCACAAAAAGCTATTTTCAGTGGAAACTTGGCTGCTGGCCACTGAAAGAAAATCCATCTTCAGGGACATATTAGTACAAATTAACCTGCATCTGCAATACTATAGCCATTAGAGCTGTAATTAATTGGCTTTCAGAAGTGGGAAGCAGAAGCATGCTGAATAGAAAAAATTATCTTGGTAACAATTCCCCTCCTGGCAGGAGCTATCAAAAATAGCTTCCTGCTAAAAATCTCTCACCTCTTCCAGCAATAGAGTATTCACATTGGGACCATTCCCTCTGCCAGGTGAAGGACAGATCCTCACAGGTCTCTAAAACTGCTGTTACATTTCTGTCTTTATCAAAACGAGAAGAGCTGCTTTGTAACAGGAAGAGCTCAGGCTTCATGAAATAATATTTAATTACTGGAATAACTAAATGCCTGGTTGGCAATAAGAGATATGTTTGCTTGGTACTTTCAAAAAGAAAACCCAAAACCCCTTATGCTTTTGTCTCAAGGCAAGTTGGGATATACAGATACCTGCATACTCCTCCTAGAGACATTAATCACCAGTAAATCATAGAATCATAGAATGGTTTGGGTTGGAAGGGATCTTCAAAGGTCATCTAGTCCAACCTCCCTGCAGGGAGCAGGGACATCTTCACTAGAGCAGGTTCCTCAGAGCCCCGTCCAACCTGACCTTGAATATCTCCAGGGACGGGGCCTCCACTACCTCCCATCCTCATACTGAAGAACTTTTTCCTAATATCCAACCTAAATCTACCCTTGTCTAGTTTAAAACCATCACCCCTCTCCAAAATAACCCACGTAGCCAAACCAATATGGCAAATCCAAGGTCTGTAGTAAAGTTAAAAGCAATCAAAATATAGGGATCAGGAAGATTCAAAGAAATAAACCTCAAGGGGACTTGAAACACACATCAGCCTTGAGGGACTGAGGGAAAGCAAGCACTGCAAACCCTAACAGGGAAAGGACTCCTGCACAGGGGCAATGGGCTCAAGGTCCAGATATTTAGAAGAGAACTTAAATATCAAAGCTGTGTTTAAAGCAGCAACCTCAGGGATCACATCTGAGCCAAGCTCAGCCAGCTTAGCAGGCTCACAGCTCCTAACAGCTCCTGCTTACAACATTTCTGTCTCAACTCAGCTTGTCTTCTTCAGCTACCAACTGAAGCACCCAGCTGCAGGCAAAGAAAAGCAGAAGGAGGTAGCAAGTGCCGTGTCAGGCAGGCTCCAGGGAGACTCTGTGCAACGCCACTGCTCAAAGACAAGCAGTTCTAGCTCCAAGAGCAGCTCTCTTAGAAAAACCAGCCTGCCTGCAAGGTTCCTCCTACTGCAACGGGCTGTTCAGACCTCACATTTTTATTTAAACACATTAAGTACCTGGTTTTCTGATTTTTTCTCAAAGTTTGACTAATTAACAGCTATTAACAGCAAACACTAGATGTTGCTCAAGTTAACGTCCAGCTGTAGCAAGAGGGGTTGGCAAACAGCACCACACACCACACAAATCCTTGTACCAAGTGGTGTCAACAGCTACATGGCTTTGTCATGAGTTACACTCCCACCCCGTGCCGTGGGGCTGTGTGGGAAATGCTGCCCAGGTCAGCACTCCTCCAAGCGTCCTCAGATGACCTTTATGCTCAGGGCACTGCAGAAGCAGGTCCAGGTCTCTTTTGAAAACTGTATTTTGACCTGGATTCTTTTCATCTGGAGTCTCCAAGTAAAGTCATTGCAGTTCCCTTCTAGTGTACTGCTGTTTTCATTTTGGATGTGGAAGGTTGGACTGGATGATCTCCAGAGGTTCCTTCCAACCCCTACCATTCTGTGACTCTGTAATCAGTGCAAATATAAAATAAGGCAGGATTTCCTAGGCACAAAGAAGACTCAAGAGCATCTCAACAACTGACTTGCTGTGGGACATGAAGCAAGTCACAGCCACTCAGCAGTAACATGGGCAAGGCAACAGAATGACAAAAATGACTAGATGTCCCTTTGAGCCATTTGTTGGTTCCTGAAGGGCACACACAAGCTCAGACTTTCCAATGCAAACCACAAAATAAATCTGGAATGGGCCCTCAGCGGGGAGTGAAGTGCAACTCCATCTGTGGGAGGTGACCTGTGGGAGGGTTCTCACACCTGAGAACTCAAGCAAACAAAATTTCTTTAAGACTTCAAGAAATTTTTTATTGGTGGCAGGGGGAGGGAGGATAAGGACACAAAAGAGCGAGGTAAGAGTGCTACAGGAAGAATCACCACATGAAGTTACCTTTAACTCAGCAGCTGTAGGAATCTTTTCTTCCAGAAACAGCTCCCCAAGTTGATCATCCGAGTTTGCAACACATTCGATCAACTCCCGACGTCTCTCTGCAGCCTCAGCTCTAAACTCAGCTGGAATTTCATCATAGCGAAGAGTCTGGCTACACACACATAAATAACATCACCACTTTGAAGGAATATCACCATTAATCAACCCTTCAGTCACTAATTATTGTGATGACCAGCCCGACCAAGAAGAATTCAACTGCTGACATGGTTATGGAAAGAAAAACCACATTAAGGATATCAGTAAGTGATCTTTGATGCTTTAGCAGGAGAGGGTTTCTTCCCACTCACAGTAGGAGTTTGCAAGGATGCAGGATAACCTGTTCAACAGCCTCACCCACATGTTATCTTCATCCCAGTAAGCTCATGCCACACATACACTATCAGTTCCCGTTAGGAAGCAAGCTGTGGGGTTGCTAAAAGCAAATCCCTTCATGCTACTGCACTTAGCAAACAATTCATGCTGCAGCCACCCATCACCAAACCTGACCCTGCAGAATCATTCTGCTGTAACGTGGAGAGCAGAAGGGTGACACCACAGCCCTAGCACAAGCCACACCACTAACTTTCCAAAGAGCAGGCTTTTTAATCTCTGAAAAGAAACTACAGGCAGCATTAGGAAGAAATTCTTTGGTGTGAGGGTGGTGAGACCCTGGCCCAGGTTGGCCAGAGAAGCTGTGGCTGCTCCTCCCTGGAAGTGTTGAAGGCCAGGTTGGATGAGGTTTTGAGCAACCTGGTCTAGTGGAAGGTGTCCCTGCTGATGGCAGGGGGGTTGGAACTGGGTGAGCTTGAAGGTCCCTCCCAACCCAAACCATTCAATGATTCTATGATTAGTCACACAGAGTAGCTAAGAAATATGCAAGTTTCAAAACTTACCCAAATGCACCATCAAAATATATAGCTCTTTCTTCAATAAGATCTATAACTCCTTCAAAGTTTCCCTCCAGCCCAATTGGAATCTGAACAAAAGCTGCATTGTGTTTTAACTTGGATCTGAAAAAGTGAGCAAATATAAATTAGCTGAAGAAAAAAAATGTCATTTTTATATATGTGCTCCAGGAGGTCTTTGAACAACATCCCATTCCTAATCGATATCACTATCTTTTGCTCTTTGGACAGTGCCAAAAATCTACCAATGCTGATGAAAGATGCCTAGTTGCATTTTAACCTGAGTGACTGCCAGCCCTCCCTATCCCAACGGATACAGCCAGCAACTTTCCTGGGAAAGAAGGTAGTGCAAACTGGTTTCAGATTAATTACTTGATTATGGGAGTTGCTTCTCCCTTAATGCATATTAATGCATGTATCTCCCAGATCAAATTAGATACAGAAAGACTGCAGGTAAGGAGCACGCAGGACTGCTGGTATCCCAACTAGAAGCTGTCCAAGCCTACGTCATCTCCCTGCTGTGAGCTACAGCACGTTTGCTACCAGGATCTAAGAAAAACTAAAAAGCTGTTTTCAAAGTGGCTCCAAATATAGTTTCATCAATAAAGTAAATATCCAAACCCCAATTCTTGGTCACTGCAAGCTTGGGCTGACATGAACATTTGTTTTTCTTGAGAAAACAGAGACCTGTTATAGGTCAGATTAAGATTTAACCTCAAGTCAGGTATTATCCTCCAAAACTGTGACTACACACCCCACCAAATAATCATTTTTAATATCCTTAGTATTAACCTGCTATGTGAACAGTTCAGAATTATTTCACAAATTATTTTAAATGACAAATACCTCAACTGTTGTACTGCTCTGGCTGGACTAGAGCCCAGTCTGTCCAGTTTATTGATGAACGTTAAAAATGGCACGCTGTACCGATTCATTTGCCTGTTGACAGTTATTGTCTGGCACTGAACACCTCCAACAGCACAGAGAACCAGAATAGCTCCATCGAGAACTCTCAAAGATCTCTCCACTTCGATTGTGAAGTCCACATGCCCTGAATAACAACAAAAAAAACCCCCATTATTCACAGACTGTAAAAGGTAATGAGGAATTATTTTCTTATAGCTGCAGAAAAGAGCAACAGCCAACAGAATCAGTCTCCAGCTACACAGAAAAAGTCACACTGACTCAACTTGAGTGACTAATGAACACAAAGATGGCACCACGCTCTTTGCAGACACGAAGGAGCAGCAACCTCAACACGTTCAGAAGTGATGTTACCTGGCGTGTCTATGATGTTGATGTTGGTGTCTTTCCACATGGTGTATGTTGCAGCAGATTGAATTGTGATGCCGCGCTGTCGTTCTAGCTCCATTGAATCCATGACAGCTCCAACTCCATCCTTACCTTTCACCTTTGGAAAAAAGAAAAAAGAAAGTGGGGGGAAAAAGAAGGAAGTGGGGAAAGAAGGGAAGAAAAAAGAAGGGAAGAAAAAAGAAGGGAAGGGAAGAAAAAAGAAGGGAAGGGAAGAAAAAAGAGAAAAAAAAATTTAGGCCAAAGAGTTTCCTGAGAATTTTGCACATGCAGGGGTGATGCTCTATATACTGAGCATCATCTTTCATGCAGTGAAGAAGAGCAGACATGGCAGAATTACTTATAATTCTCTAACTACAAGCAAGTTTTGATTTTTTTTCTTACAGCTTCACGTAAAACTTTAATGTATTTTGCTTTCCTGTGGATCAACTCATCAGAAATCTGAGGCAAATTATGCTTCGCTGTGAATTTAACAGGCTAACATAACCAAAGTGAAAAATTACATCCCTGTGTTCTTCGTTTCTCACAGTCATCTTTGACCACACCAAAATAAACATGTATCTTCCATTGTATGTTTACCATGGAGATGGTAAAGGAGAAATAAGTTTTGATACAAGATGTGAAGTGTTCTGCAGTAAAGGAGGGATTACTTTCTAGCTCCTTGCTCTCATTTTCAAAAGGGTATCAGGGAAACCAGCAGATTTTCAGGACTCCTTCTCCAGCTTGGCCACAAGAGCCTCACTGGACCCACCAAGCCGTAGCTCCCTCGCCCCACACCATGCAGAGGAACACATCACAGACAGGTCACAATGGCACCCAGCAGGCTCTGTCTGTGAAGAGCAGCTCTGCTCTGGAGATCTCTGAGAACAGACCTCGTGCATCTGTGCTATCCTGCCCGTGTAGAAGAGGATTCGCTCAGTTAACGTCGTCTTCCCCGAATCGATGTGAGCCGAGATGCCGATGTTGCGGATCCTCTCGTTGGGAAGGACCCCTGAAGAACAGCGTCTGCAGGAGAGCAGGAGGAACTGAAAGGCAAGAGGAGATGGATGGCTGGTTTAGCCAGGAGCAGGTCAATGCAGCTCACTCACTCTGCTGATTATTAATCAACTCCCAGTTTATTCATCTGCTTTTCTACGGTTTCCAGTCAACCTGTGACAAATGGGTCATTTAAAGCACAACGGCCTTTCCAACCTCCCACAGGGTCACCTCAAAGCTCTGTCCCCTCCCTGCCACCACCCCCAGCTCCTCT